CACGTTCGAGGAGGAATGTATGTTTAAGTGGGGGAGAATGTAACGACATGACCGATCATTTTGAGCAGTTGCATTCTGTTTGATGGTTCGAGGGCATGAGTAGCTCCGTATGATGTATTATGACTTGTGTGTATCGTCGGTTTTGGTTTTCAGGTGATTCCAAATTGATTTTTTTGTCTTTATGATGATGTTATTATTCTTATGGTATTTGTTGGTGGTACTGATAGTCTCTTTTCATCTTCTTGAGCTGAGGGTCTTTCAGAAACAGTCTCTTTACTCCCTCGGGGGTAGGGGTAGGGTCTGCGGAGGTCTGCGTATACACTACTCTCCCCAGACCCCACTATGGGATTTTACTAGGTCGTTGTTATTGTTGTTGTATTCTCAACTAGGAAGCTTTAAGTTGTAAGAGTTGACCAAGTTTAACTTTTATGAATTTGACCCCAGATAGGAGTTTTGATGGTTTTGTTAGGTCCGGATGGTGATCTTGGACTTGGGCATATGTCCGAATTTGCATTTGGATGTTTCTTGAAGGTTTTGGCGTTAATTGGCGAAAGTTGGCAATTTGATGGTTTGGAAAGTTTATAGGTTTCACTAGGAGTTGACTTTGATGATACCGGGTTCAGATTGTGGTTACGGGAATTTGAATAGCTTCATTATGTCATTTGGGACTTGTGTGCAAAATTTAAGGTCGTTCCGGGTTGATTTGATATGGTTCGACACGAGTTTTGGAAGTTGAAATTCAAGAGTTCATTAAGTTCGATTTGAGGTTTGATTCGTGGCTTTGATGTTGTTATGTGTGATTTGAAGCCTCGAGTAGGTTTGTGTTATGTTTTGGGACTTGTTGGTATGTTCGAACGGGGGCTCGAGGATCTCGGGTGAGTTTCGGACGTGATTCGGATCATTTCAGATGGTTTTTGTATTGTTGATTGTTGGTGTTTCAGCTGTTCTTCACGATCACGAAGATGAGGCCGCGATCGCGAAGTGATTCTTGGAGCTAGGTATTTTCTTCTCCTTCGCGTTCGCGACCGTTTCAACGTATTCGCATAGTGTTGAGCAGAGCTGAATAGGTCGATGGTTCCTCTTCGCATTCGCGATATTTCTCCAGCGTTCGTGTAGGTCTGTCTCATGTATGCATCGCGTTCGTGGGGCTTGTGTCATGAACGCATAGAGTTAATTGAGGCAGTGTAGTTTTGTTCATTGTGAAAGCAAGGAAATTCCGCGTTCGCGAAGGGTTCACCTAGGCAGTGCTTATAAAGTACTCTATTTCGAAGGTTTTGGTCATATTATCATATTTTGAGTTATGGAGCTCGGATTTGGGTGTGTTTTGAAGAGATTTTCACCACCTGGATTGGGGTAAGTGTTTTATACTCGGTTTTGATTATATTACAAGATTCCATTTTAGTTTTGGCATTTGATTGATGATTTCAAAAGAGAAATTGGGGGGGTTTTGTCTAAACTTTTCTAAAGTGAATTTTTGGGATTTGAACATCGATTCGGAGTCGGATTTGAGTGAAATTAGTATGGTTGGACTCGTAATTGAATGGGTTGTCGGATTTTGTGAATTTTGTTGGGTTCTGAGGTGCGAGTCTCGGGTTGACTTTTTCGTTAACTTTGAGTTTTTCATTAATGATTCGACCTTTATCGATTAGGTTTGTCTCCTATGGCATTATTTGATGTTTTTGAGTTGCTTTTGAATAGTTTCGAGCCATTCAGAGGTTGATACACGCGGGATGGCATTTCTAGAGTGTTGTTTGGCCAGCTCGGTAATTGTTTCGGCTTGTTTGAGGTAAGTATCTTATCTAAGCATATTTGAGGCACTAGTTTCCTGAGTTATTTATGATAGCTACGTGCTATGGGTGCGCACATGTGTGGGGATTGAGCCCATGTGCGAGCATCGGGGTATTTATCCATGCTCGGGGTAATGCTTAGGCTATGATATGCCTTGAATTGACTGTTAAGCTTTAAGCTGTGATGTTTCTCATATTTGTAGCCCTGTTTTGAACTATTCCATCCATGTTTGAGGTTACATAAAGGCTAATTCCCTGAATGAACTTTATATTTGCTATTTTCGTGCGGAAATTACCGATTTGATATATGATAGCACATTTTGCACATGAATACAGTTTAGCATGACACTTATACCAGTCCAGGAGCGTGAAATCAGATATTCATTGATCATATACATGTATTCTTATACATTTGCTTCTATGTGATATGATTTGGATTGGATTCCTGTGACCAAGCCGGGCGGATTGTGTTGTTATGCATGTGACCACATCGGGCGGATTGTGTTGTTATACTTGTGACCACGCCGGGTGGATTGTGTTGTTATGCCTGTGACCACGCCAGGCGGATTGTTTTGTTATGACTGTGACTATGCAGGGCGGATTGTGATATTGAGCATGTTACCACATTGGGCGGATTGTGATTATAGCACGTGAGTTGTCCGTGCAGCATGCGAGTTGTCTGTGCGGTTGATATTGAGTCTATGACCATGCCGGGCAGTATATGATATTGATCATGTCACCACACCGGGATGATAGCACATTTAATTGGTCGTGCTTTCCTGTGGATATGGATTCATCCCCCTAGGGTCACCCTCTCATGTTTCTCTCTTGATGGCATACACGCGGATTGTGAGAAACCGATGGGTTTCTGGTTGATGCCAGCTCTGGGAGAGTTGGTTATCATTATTTGGATCGGGTTGTATGTCGCAACAGGCCCTATTGGCTTATTTGTATTTGGATTGGATTGCGCGCCGCAATGGACAGATATTTGGTAATTTCATTTTATCTTTATTTGCAAATTTCCTTGACTGTTTACCTGATTTACTTGTATATCTTCCGTATATGTTGGATTGTTGACCGAGTAGAAAACTTTAAAACAAAGAATTGCGAGCACCAAGGTGGTTTTACCTGTGCTTTCTTGATTTGATCATATATCTGTTCTATACTTGTTGGATTTAAGAACTTGTACAGGTGACTGGTGAGTATCATTTATAATTCTTTCTTCTAATACCTCGCCGATTAGTTACGATACTTATTAAGTACATGGGGTCGGTTGTACTTATACTACACTTCTGCATCATGCATGCAAATCTTGGAGCTGATGTTGGTGTGCACGGCGGGAGCTGGCATTGAAGATGTACCTGCGTTTCGGTTATAGCTACCACTTGTCCTTAGTAGCTTTATATTTGTAAATCTGTTTATGTATATTCCGAACAGATGATGTATTCATTCGTACCAGCTTTGTAAATTATAAGTCTTAGAAGCTAATAATTTATTTTACCAGTCCTTGAGGTATTGTATAAAAGTTCAGTTAATTTATCATTGATTTTCTTATTATTTTATTATAGTTGTATTGACTGTTATTTGGCTTACCTAGAGGGTTGGGTTAGGTGTCATCACGACTGGCTGGATTTTGGGTCGTGACATGCACTATTTCCCTTTCTTTTATTTATATTATTATCTTCGCATTTTTCAGCATAATTGTTTCCTATCCCGTTGAATCTGCAACTGTGACATGTAATGAGACAACACAACACAACGAAAGCAATTCAGAGGAATGGAAAAATGATGTAATACCAGAGGAAATCGTTAGGAAAGTAGAGGATTTTGAGAAAAAACCCAAGTCGAATTTAGAGGAAACTGAAGCTGTTAACTTGGGAGATTCCGAAAAAGTCAAAGAGACTCGCATTAGCATCCATCTGTCACCGTCCGACAAGGAAACATACATCAGATTTTTGAAGGAATATGAGGACATCTTTGCCTGGTCCTATGACGACATGACAGGGTTGAGCACATCCATAGTAGCCCATAAGCTACCCATCAACCCAATGTGTCCACCAGTGAAGCAGAAACTCAGGAAATTCAAGCCAGACATGAGTTTGAAAATAAAAGAGGAGGTTACCAAATAGATAAATGACAAGGTTTGTGGTTGAGTATCCGACTTGGTTAGCCAACATCAAACTCGTACCGAAGAGGAAAGGCCAAGGTATGCGTTGACTACAGAGATCTGAATTGAGCAAGTCCCAAGGATGATTTTCCGCTGCCAGACATACATATCTTGATCAACAACTATGCCAAGCATGAGCTTCATTCCTTTGCTGATTGTTTCGCTGGGTATCACCAGAGCTAGATGGATGAAAGAGACGTCAAGAAAATGACCTTAATCATGTCGTGGGGTGTGTATTTCTATAAAATGATGTCGTTCCATTTAAAAAATCAACTTAACTAAACACAAACATCGCTCTATTATCATTAAAATTCTCAAATGCAAGCAAAGAATGTCATAAAACTATAGAGTTATGGCCAAACAACAGCAAGTCCTTTTTTTTTTCAATACACGATTGACATAATCTCTTCTAAAATGTAATAATCAATTTACCCTTAAATAACAAAAGTTAAAGTAAATTGAAACTAATAAAATTCCACGTTCTCAAAGAGGGAAAAGAAAAGGAAAGAAGATGGGATCGTGACGCTAGATACTAACAGAAAATCCAATTGCTACATGCCAACCAAAATTTGAAAAATAGTGAAAGCATCATCATATAATATAGGAGTTTGGAAGATACAGCAATTAAAAATTCAATAAACATACTTGTTAATTCCAAAGTTAATTCATCCACCGAACCCTTTGCATTGAGTTAGTCAAATCGACGCGTAAGGAGACCTGGACAATGTTAAAGGGTATCGTACACAGTAAATGACTCAATTACCCATTGATATTTTCAACAATTCAAACTAACATAAGGGTAATAAAAAAATAATAACAAATTCAGTATAATTACACAAATAGATCTGAGAAGAACATTGTAATTATATAGTGAAACTGTTTTCAATAAGTCTTTAGCTAAAAGAAAATAATAAAAGAGCAGTGACAATAAAGAATAACAACAAAATAAACATAAGGATAATCATGTCCAATAAAAAGAATATGCTGTACTGTGGGAAAACTTTATATAGAGCCAGCAAAAAGTGGGGGCACAAAACAAAAGAAAACGGCTTTCTTTGTACAATTTATAGTATTCTTTACAACTGCTACCCATTAACCAGTAAGCAAACCCTTCACCACAAACTGCTCTCTGGCAATTTTGTCACCCAACAAATCCTTTCTATTTACTTCATTTTAATATAGTACATATTTTGAAATCACAGCCAATTTTAAGGGGTCTGAAAAATCTAGGTTTGTTTGTCTTGAAAAATCTTTATATATTTTCCACCCACCTAGGTGGAAATATCCAATTGTTTTGATTTTGGGTTGATTTGGTGTTTGATCTGTAAAATCAAGAAGGTTATATAAGCACAAAAATAGACTTAAAGAGAAAGATGTGGGGTATTTCTAAATGTTGTGAGAAAATTTACACGGTTGCAGAAGGGGGATCTGGTTATTGTTCCAAGAAGAAGGATGATTTATGTAATGAGGTGAGATTTCGTCTTTTGACTTATTTGAATTCATACATGTCACTAGCCATTTGATTACACTCTGGTTCTTCTGTTGTTATATTCTTTTTCTTTTTAAACTTTTTTTTATTTCTGAGGTCACATTCTTGGTTTTCCTGGGTGGAGTTTTACTTTGTAATTATATTAAACAGGAAGGCGGAGGTTTATATTCTTGGGACCCTGATGAAAATTAGCATCTTTAATAAATTTTTGTTAAATCTTCTAGCCCGTTGAAACAGAAAGGCTAATTGACGTGTGATCTGATTCTAGTTTTTTATGCCCTGTAGCCTTTTTCTGTTTTCATATTTTTTATATGAACGAACATATTTTTCTATTAATTTCAAAGGAAATAAAGGGTTTGTTGGAAGAGGGTGCTTTCCATTTTATTCATTTCCATGGTTCTTTACTTGTATTTTACTGGAAAGTGGCACAACACCATGTATTATTCCTCTTTTGGCTGAAGCATGTTCGTCGTTTAAGCACATATTTGACGTTATTGATCTTGAAAGTGGAATGACAAAAAGCTCACTGAAAAGGGCTAAAAATCCCTTGCCCCCTTTGAGATTTTATTTTGCTTTCGGATTTGAGGCCTTCTCTTGCTTGTACTTGATATTTGATATTCATACTCAAAAGTGTATATTTGAAGTTCTGTGGCTTTTACCTAATACATAATGTAATGTAGATACATATTGTGTATACGCTTTCTGAGTATAAAATGCTGTTGTTATTTTATACCTAACAAAAGATTCTGTTGAATGCAGGAAACTGGACAAGCCTTGAGCATGTCGAGACTAAAATGTATTTTGCGTGGCTTGGATCTTAAAACATATATCTTTCTCTTTGTGTTGATACCAACTTGTGTCTGGGGTATATACGTACATGGGCAGAAAATCACTTACTTTCTACGGCCTTTATGGGAAAAACCACCAAAGCCATTTAATGAAATGCCTCACTATTATCATGAGAATGTGTCAATGGAGAATCTCTGTAAACTTCATGGATGGGAAATTCGTGAGTATCCGAGGCGTGTCTTTGATGCAGTGTTGTTCAATAATGAGGTTGACATGCTTACTATACGGTGGAAGGAGTTGTACCCTTATATCACAGAATTTGTTTTACTTGAATCGAATTCAACATTCACTGGGTTGCCAAAGCCTTCTTACTTTGCTAATCACAGAGATCAGTTTGAATTCGTTGAGTCAAGATTGACGTATGGACAAATTCCTGGGAGATTTAGAAGAGGAGAGAACCCTTTCGTCGAGGAGGCTTATCAAAGGCTTGCATTGGATTATCTTCTAAAACAAGCAGGTATTCAGGATGATGACTTGTTGATAATGTCAGATGTCGATGAGATACCTAGTAGACATACAATCAATCTCTTGAGGTGGTGTGATGACATACCTTCAGTTCTTCATCTTCGGTTGAAGAATTATCTTTACTCCTTTGAGTTTCTTGTGGATAATGATAGCTGGAGAGCTTCTATCCATCGCTACCAATCGGGTAAGACAAGATATGCTCATTACCGACAGTCAGACGTCATATTGCCAGACTCAGGGTGGCATTGTAGCTTTTGCTTCCGCCACGTAAGTGAGTTTATTTTTAAGATGAAAGCCTACAGCCATTTTGACAGGGTCAAATTTTCGCATTTTCTCAACCCTAAGAGAGTACAAAAGGTTATCTGCAATGGGGATGATTTATTTGATATGCTACCAGAAGAGTATACATTCAGGGAAATCATTGGCAAAATGGGACCTATTCCCCACTCTTATTCAGCTGTTCACCTACCGGCTTATCTTTTGGAAAATGCAGAAAAGTATAAGTTTATGTTGCCGGGTAATTGCTTGAGAGAAAGTGAGTGATCTAGCAGGGTTTATTATATTTACTTTTTGTGAACGTCAAGGGTGCAGTTCTGCATTGCTCCTTGCGAATCAAATGATGATCCTGTGAAACATGCAAGAGTTTCTACAATCACTGTAGAAACTTTTGGAATGTTGGGATGAATGATCAGAATTCAGATTTGGGAAGTCAAGGATTTTTGTATATAGCTTCTTAGAGATGGTTTTCTCTGGATCAAGCATGTCTATTGGACAAATGGGGAGTTTTCTGTTGCAGAACTGCTATTAGTTTGAAACATGTGCATAACTCTGTATCCTGTAGTATATCAATTCCTGATTATGGGAAATTTTGGATCAGTACTAATTTATTCACATTTCTTGTGTTCCTTATTCGTTCTGACCTAGTACTTTCATATCACCTAGCGTTTAGACCAGAAATATGTCCCTTTTGTTAATTGATTTGATTGATTAATTAACTAGCTTTCTAGTATATGCATCAAGTTGGTATTGTGATCTCAAAGGGCGATTATGTGGTGTGTTTACACTTTCATCCTCTTAGATTTACTTTTGTATTGAATTATCTATATATCTATCTATATTTATATCTATATCTATATTATTATAAAAGTACGGATGTTTCATGCTAACTATTCATATTAATTTTGACAAAAACTTATAAGGGAAGAACACAACTGCGAATAGACATGTCGAATTATGAATGGAATAACAAAAAGTAAATACTAAAACTAAATATTCTAATCTTTCATCTAGCTAGACGGGGAACAAATGCGTTAGAATTGAAGTAGTTAGCTCAGTTGTACATAGTCAAATATTTTCAAAGTATTAAAATTAAAATATTTACTCTCTCCGTTTTAATTTAGATGAGTTAGTTTGACTAGGCGCGGAGTTTAAGAAAAAAAAAGACTTTTGAAACTTGTGGTCTTAAAAATTTAAGGGGTAAAAGCTTTGTGGGGCCATGACATTTATGTGATTATAAATGCTTCTCATTAAGGGCAAAATGAGCAAAATAAAGAGTTTAAAGTTGAATTATTTTCAATTGTAAAAATGTTTCATTCTTTTTGGAACCGAATAATGAAGAAAGTGTCATCTAAACTGAAGAGAGGGAGTACTTTACAAAATAGAATAAAGTTTGTTAGTTTTTTGTTTTGAATTCCAAGACGTGAAACACATGGTCTATCAGAAACAACCTCTCTACTCCTCCGGAGTAAGGGTAATGTCTGCGTACACACTACCCTCCCCAGACCCCACTTGTGAGATTCCACTGGGTTGTTGTTGTTGTTAAAACACAAAGGACACTACCCTCCCCAGACCCCACTTGTGAAATTCCACTGGGTTGTTGTTGTTGTTGAAACACAAAGGTTTGATTAATTTTGTTTTTAAAAGCATTTTGAGTTTGATACCCGAAACTAACAACGCATTGTTATTCAAAAGAATTTTTGTACATTTTATACTGTTTTTATTACAAATCCAATGCACTTAAACGGTTTTGTGTTCGATTTTATAGTTTTAGAAATATGATTTTGGCCATTTTTCCAAGTTTCAGACATTAATACTTTTTAATTTTTTATTAATAAAATAATTATATTAATAATTATAAGCTAATATAACTGTAGATCAATGGAGGGACTAAAGAATCATATTTACAACGCATGTCCATACTTAAAATCACGTGGAAAAAATTCATATTTATTGGGATTCAGTTTAACTTATTTTTCACAGAGATAATTTTATGTTAGAATAAAATCGTAATACATTAGTACTGTGTAATATTTAATATTTTGAAGAAAACTAGCTGGACATTGAATTCTTTAAAGTGAAGCTCTAATTCAGACTAATTTCACACAATATCGTTGAACAATGGTAAATTATCCACTGAAGGACTCAAATTAATTCGCACAAGGTTTCGTAAATTTGATGAAATTTTCTGTAGTAAAGTTTGAACAAGATGTCTACTCACTTAATTACTTTTAAAAAACAAAAACTCAATTTTTGGTTGATAGTGACAAATAATAGATGTATTTTGGATGATCAGCACTGAAGATGTTAGTGCTGGCGGCTCTTCCGTTTACAAAGCAATATTCGATTACGCTTTGAATAGACATATTAGTTTACTAACAATGGTAGTTAATTAGATACATTAATTAATTCTATTATATATGCGATTGATGTTTTATTATCTTTTGTACAAATTATGTAATATTTGACTTAAGATATTCGCACAACGCATGAATATAGAGACTAGTCATAGTAAAAATATAAAAATATTCTTGAAATATTAATCGACTTTTATACCCTTCAAAATTTAAATTAAATCTTCGAGATTAATGTCCAAAAAGGAAAAAGTATATGAATTCTTGTAGAGTCAAAGTTTTTATAAATTTAAATTATTGGCTCATGATTCCCAATAAAACCTGTTGGTTATTCAAACAAGGAGATTGCTGAGGATCCAAATTGTTTTAAATAATACTCCATCCGTTTCAATTTATGTGAACCTATTTGACTTGGCACGAAATTTAAGAAAAAATAAGACTTTTAAAATTTGTGGTCCTAAACAAATCAAAAATGGGCCCAGAGTATTTGTGTGGTTATAAAAGTTTCTCATTAAGAGTAGAATTGTAAGTTTACACTAAATTGTTTTCAAATTTAAAAATTGATCATTCTTTTTTAAACGGACCAAAAAAAAATAAATTAACATAAACTGGAACGGAATGAGTAATAATATTTGGTCCGGAAGTCCAGGTCTTGTGGTTATTAAGATAACGGGGTTATTAAGATAACGTGGTTATTAAGTGAAGGGCTCTTTCCATGACATCCTATGTAGTTGACAGAATCGAAAAAGGTATGAAGAATATTTTTTGATGCTTTAGTGCATATGGTGTACCTTAATAGTTCCATATTCTTGTGTCTAACATAGAATAAGAATTTATGGTCATATGACTGAGAATTAGGTTGTTAGATCTTTCAGATTAATTACGAAATTTTCATTGAATTCGTATTTAAAAATTTGTACTATTTTTAAATATTGAAACTAACATCTCCATCATTATAAGGTCAAATGGAGTGATTCAAAAGCCTAACTTGACTGAAAATTTACGAAGAATCCATTGGAGGCATCAAAAGTGAGTTTGGGGATCGTTTGACATAAGAAACGAGGCAGAACACCTGTGCATTTTTGGCTATTAATGTTGTTGGAGTTTTTCTCATCTTGAAAGTTTGGGATTGAGAGAATTCAAAGATGTTCTTCATGTTTCTTCCATAGGGTAAGGTCTAAACCATAAACTAAGTATTTTCCTTTGATTCATTCCCTTGTTTTGAGCTTTAATCTATGATTTTAATTGAAAACCCATTTAATTCTTTAAAACAAGACCTAGGGTTATGTCCTAAATTTTAAAAATTAAATATGAGTTAGAGGCGTTTATTTTCCAATTCCTTTTAGGGGTTTTGTTCTCCTATATTAGGAGAACAACATACTCGAATTTGACAAGTTTTGGAGGAGTATTTTAGGAGATATGGGACCCAACTAGTGTGGGTTGGACTCTTGGGTTACGAACACCCAAGAGCGATGTTTTGGCAAATTGGTTGAGCTATCAAGCTCTGATTGAGTCATTTTCCGTTCGTGTGAGCTTGTATTGGTTCGGGCTTCGCTCAGGTAAGCTTGGATTCTGAATCCAAGGCGGGCCCAGCTATAACGATCCGACCGGTCATTTTGAGAATTAGCGTCCCGTTCGGTGGCTTAAGGTCTCGAATAGCTTCGTATTATGTATTATGCCTTGCGTGTGTGGTCGAGTTTGGTTTTCGTATGATTCAGGATCAATTTGGAGGAACAATTCTTGTGAACAATTCTTGACTTTGATTGTCACGCCCCAAAACCGAGGAGCGCGACCGGCATTCAACCGAGTGAACCCCGACCGAACAAGCCTATTAGATTCCTTCTACCCAAAATCATTCATGAGTAAAGAGAATATATGTTTTCCTTAATTAAACAATAAAATGGTCATGTTTGCAATTACCAATTTCTTACCAATAGTTTCATCATTTTTAATGTCTCAAATGGACAAGTAATACAACTACAACATAACATAGTTTGTCTTTTCCCAACACCAATACACAACCCACACTATGTCTACGGAGCCTCTATATATAAAGATGAGTACAATGATAATGCCGGCAACAAGGCCCCGGCTATACCTTAAATAGAATACACAAAGAACAAAAGACACATGACCCCGGGATGAAGTGGGGCTCACCAAGTCAGCTGGAAAGTAGGTGTACTGCTATCACTAATCAATATCTCCTGCTGTGGAACCACCTGCATCCATTTAAAGATGCAGCGCCCCCGACAAAAGGGACGTTAGTACCGTCGAATAGTACTAGTATGAAAACTAAACACCAATTTAAGAATTCAGAAATACAAGATGAATATGATGAACCAGTGCGGCACTAGTATAACCGTCTCAACTATAGCAAGCTTATTAAAAGCTATCAACAATATTTATTATTTAAGATGAGATCTTCTATAACCATCTTCACACAAAGTGGCCCCGCTGCCTCACCTCAATGCATGCAGGTGGAGGTGTACGTACAATACCACAACTCAAATCAAGCGGCCCTGCCGCCTCACCTCAATGTACGCGGGTGGATGTATAACCACAGTACCAAGAACCTACACAAAGCGTCTATGTCGCCTCACCCCAATGTATGCGGGTGGTGGTGCCACAACAATACCAAAACTATACACAAAGCGGTCGTACCGCCTTACCCCAATGTAAACGGGTGGAGGTGCAGTCCAACAATACCATAATTCTTACACAAAGCAGTCAAGCCATCTCACCCCAATATATATGCGGGTGAAGGTGTATCACAATCACAATCTCTATACCATAATCCCCACACAAAGCGGTCATGCCGCCTCACCCCAATGTATGCGGGTGGAGGTGTATCACAATCACAATCTCTACACAACTTGGCATAATAACTTTCACATAAATCACGTCTAGAAATTATAACATGTGGATACATAATCCATAGTTTGGGACACATCCTCAATTTATAATACAATATGATAAGAGCATTTGAAATACGGATTGAACATATATCTTCATCACAGAACTTATCGGAATACTCGATTTATAATCAACATTTTAGAACTTACAAGGATAATGGAAATTCCAATTCTCAAAGAAGAGTTTAGCCAACATACCTCAATTGAGCTTCCTTAAACTCTAAAGCGTTCCGGAATTCTTAGCAACTTCAATCTATTTTAGAAATATAACAAATTGAACCACAATTAGGAAGATGATTATGGTTCTAGCTCATTTGAGCATTTTATCAAACACTAGGTGTGCATTAAGGTTCAAGGTCCTTTTAAGGAGGATTCCATAATCCCACAACCCAACCTTTACCATTTTTAGCTCAACAATCTTTCTACACCCTTTGATAACACATGCATGTAAAATAACTAACCCTCTT